AACGGATTGACAGCCACAAGGATGTCGCCAACATAGCTCTGTGGTGGTACCAGCGGATGCGCAGGTGGGAAGGTAGGGGGTAGCTGTTAGTGCACATCCTGCTCACAAGCGAATTGTCACGTTCAGTCCCACAATCACACATGCACACACACATACAACACACACACACACACACACAACACACACACACAACACACACGCACACAGACGTACGTAGATGGTGTCGCGTTCATAGCGAACTTTGAGCTCTCGCAACAACACTTCCTGGTTCAGGTCAGGCAGCGATGCCAGATCGTCCACCTGGGGTAGGTAGGCGATGGTGGTGGAGAACATGACTAAACTGCAAGTACGAAGCAGAAGAGAGTGATGACGCGAGCACAAGCGCCCGCCGCCCGCTTGCTCCGCCCACGGAACACGTCATGATAGTAACCAGTGCAGCGCACCTCGCCTGGCTTGAACGACATCGTCGTGGTGGTGGGAAGCACAAACAACACAACAACAGGTGGCAACAGCACAAATTAATTTGCGGACGCCACGCCCACCACAACTGCTGGGATGACTCACACACGACCTTGAGACAGACCTTCCGTCCCGCGTCTGACACAAGCAATGGTTGCTCGCGGTGCTGGTGTTGGAACAAAGAACACTGTTGAGTCTTATTTGACAAGCGCCGTCGTGAGCAATGGTTGGTTGTGTCCGCGAACACAGTGCAGGATGTGCGTGAATTTCACAACAGCGCACAGAAACACTGCTGAGTCTTTTCTCTTGCAATGTGGCATGAAATGACACACCCAACTGTTCAGTGACACACAATTACCTTCCTTCTTCCACACCGCCAAGCAGACAAGCCCCCCTCCGCCCCCGCCCCCCCCCCTCTCTCTCTCTCTTAGCTCTTTGGTGCCACTGGCATTGAGGAACTAATGTGGGATGAAGTTGTTCGACAAGTGCATTTTCCCTCCAGTCGTCGATTCCAACAAGTCCAAGAGCCCCGAGCAGCAGACAAGACTCAGAGACACAGAGACGCAAGAAGGAAGGACAAGCAAGCAAGCAAGCAAGCAAGGCCAAACAAGGACAAAGAAGGCAAAGCACGCACTCCCCCCACCCCCTTCTCTCTCTCAGGCCACTGCCAAGCGACTCCTTGAGGACCGCCGCCAAGTGCCAGCCGCCCCAACCCCAACTACAGCGAATCAGCGGTTCAACACACCAACCACACCAACCACACCCGAAAAGACACCGACTCTCAACTGGACACCATCTGAGGACTGTTTCTCAAGCCCACTTGTCAGCTTGTCAGGACAGCCTCCCCTTCCTTCCGTCCTGTGAGCATTTCGCGGAACAGCGTCACAGGCAAAGCCTAGGACAACAAGACCAGCACGACAACAAGACCAACACGACAACAGAGACAACAGGACCAACAAGCCAACAGCTCAACAGGACAACAAGACAAGACGACAGCAAGACAAAATGTCTGGCTCGGACACCTACTACACGGCGACGTGCAACATGGTTGCCATGGAGGGCGACCGCATCATGTTCCAGCCCACCGTCACCTGCCAGCGCATGGAGGATTACCACCCCGAGCGCCGCCAGGCCAGGATGCACGTGCTCTTCGTCGCAGACAACTCCGGCTCCATGAGCGATCACATGCAGAGTGTCAACACCGGGCTGGCAAACGCCATCACTGCCTGCATGCAACACGGTGTTCACCCCAATCTCTGCAACTTCAGCGACGTCCTCAACGAGCGCCACCTTCCTTACGACCAAGGCGCCGCTGCTGTTGCCAGCACCATTCAGAACCTTGGCTGCGACACATTGACCGACTTTGACATCGTTGTGGATCGTCTCGTTGCGGAGATGAACATGCTCCTGGGTGTTGCCCGCGCCCAGCAAGACCGGCAGCATCGCGTGTTCCTCGTCGTGATGACGGACGGCCAAGCGTCGATGCCCAGCGAGGACAAGTTCGCGCACCTGCAGCGTCTCATCGAGGAGTTTACCGCCCTGTCTGTCCACTCCAACGAGGTCAACGTGCTTGCTCTCGGCGTTGGCGGCGACCACCAGGGCGAGTTTCTTGACCGCCTCTCAAAGGTGAGCAGATGTGTGTTCATGTGTATGTGTGTGTTCCTGTGCGTGTGTTCCTGTGCGTGTGTTCCTGTGCGTGTGTGCATGTGTGGGTGTGTGCATCTGTGCATGTGCATCTGTGTGTTGCGCACAGACCCGCCTGTCCGGCTTGATCGACTTGTCCGACTTGCCTCCCTTGCGCACGTCTGTGCCTGCACTGACCAGCATCTGTACGTTTGTTACTTCTTTTCTTCTGTTGCTTCTGTGTTATGACACACCCTTCTTCCACCCCCCTCCTAGCTGCAAGCGTATCCTTACACTCTGCCGCAAACAACACTTGCCTGCTTTCCTGCCACTACCATCCCTTCACCTTCCAATCCCTTCTCTCATTCGCACCCCCCCCCCCCTCCACAGGTTGTGCCCAACAGCAACCGCTTCTTCCAGTGCGCTGCTGGTGAGACGACGGACGAGCTCACCAACAGCATCACGGACGCGATGGGCCACCTCACCACCAGCCTTGCCGCCTCCGCCACCACCTCCAGCCTGCGCGTGTGCATCCAGCCTGCTGGCGCGTCCACGCCTGTCGCCCATGTCCAGCTGCGCGAAACGGAAAGCGAGTCTGTTGGCACTGCCGTCGCCGTCACGTACCAGGCGGATTGCGTGCAGGCATTGCCAGACAACGTGGCAGCCGCCGTCTTTGCTGCCTTGCGACAAGACCCCTCCCGCAGCGGCATGTTCCTTGGCAGCACCACCGCCACGCCGCTGCCGTGCACGTTCACCTTTGTGGACCTCGAGGACCTCGAAGGTGTGGACCGGTACGAGGCCGAGTCCGGGCTGGCGCGCGAGCAAACCAGCACTTTCGCCGACAACCTGCCGTCGCAGATTGACGTGCGCCGGGACCGCGAGGTGGTGGCGACAGGCCAAACGCTGCTGGGCATCATTGCAGACCTGATCCAGCAGGCGCGCTCCTTCACGGGCCTGCCCGATGACGACCAGGAGTTTGTGGGCAAGACACAGCAGCAGCAGGAGCAGTGCCACTCGCTGCTCAACGAGATTGTGAACACGGGCCGCTCTGGTCCCGATGTCATCACGCAGCTGCGCACCCACACCAACCCGCTGGTCGCGCCCATTCGCCGACGCCGCGTGCAGGGTGAGCGCATGTGTGTGTGTGTGTGTGTGTGTGCGCGCGCGTGTGTGTGTCTGTGTTGTGTGTGTGAATCGACGCGCGTCAATGTACAAATGATGTGACTGCTTGGTTGCAGTGGGACGCTGTTGCTGCCCCCTTGCTATCTGCGCTTGCATGGTACTGGTGGGTTGCTCGGCACTCTTCCAACCAACTCACACACAACCCTGTTACCGTGTTCTTCCTTGTCACTGAATGCGTGCAGGCAAGGCAACGGGTGAGGTGCTGATGCTGCGCGCCACGTGCCAGCAGCTGCAGGTTGCGTTGATGCTCGCCCTTTGCCTCAACATCTTCTTTGGCATCTCTCTCGTCTTCAAGTGATGCCGTTCACCCACGTTATGATAATGCTTCAGTAGTCAGCTCCGTTGTTCTGTTGTTGCCGACAGGCTGCACACACACACACACACGCGCACACACACGCACACACACACACACACACTCTCTCTCTCCTCTCTCCATACGTTCTTCAGCCTTCATCTGTATTCTGAGCTTCATTCCGTTTTGTTGACTAACACCCTTCACGACGTTGTGCATCCCTTTATTTCGAACTCAAGTCGCATCTGTGCACACTTTAAGACTTTAAGTTGACAAGTCGACATACACAATCAATCGAGTAAAAGAACTGTAAGTAACAGTGTGGGTAGAGTGGGGGTTAAGTAAGTTCTTGTGACACGTATAAACCAAACAACCAACAAGCCAACCAACCAACCAAACAAGCAGACTCCACGGGAGCATGTCAAGCCTCCATGACATCAGCGGCCGGCACGGGCCTGTCCAGGAGTTGGGAGCGTGCGTTTCGAGTGCGCGCCCAGGACACCGGCACCCACTGCGGCGTTGTTCTGGACAGCGTCACGATGCGAAGCAGGTCCTTGATGCACGTGACCAACGTGTCATTCACCACAACCTGATCAATGGACACAAGTGGAAATGAGAGTGAACACGGTGTTATGTGGTGAGGAGTGGGGCACATGGATAGCAGTTGGTGGCACAAAGAACAAGCTAAGAAGGCAGGGCAAAGCACAGATAAAAAAAAAACAGAAAAACGTTCGCACACTGTTGCCACACCTCGTCGCAGACGGCGCCGTAGCCTTGCATGATGCGATCAGCAGCCATCAACATCTCTTTCATGTCACTCTCAGACCTGTGGCGAAGAAGTCATTTGCGTGCATGTGTGCATTTGTGAATGTGCATGAATGCATATGTGAAAGTGTGGGTGTGCGTGCATGCATGTGTGTGTAAGCCTTGGGGTGGTGCGATGACGCACGCGGCTGCTAGTGACAAACATGTGCTTGCAAGCAAACTCCATGTTACGCACAGGACACGTACAGAGCGCCCTGGCGGGTGAGCCGGAGCTGGCGCAGGTTTGGCGGCTGCACGAAGATGACCATGGCCTGCACATCCGCCGTGCGCACCATCTCAACCGACTGATGGATGGGCGGACAACAGTCACAAGCACGAGGCAATACAATACGTGAGCATTTGCAAAGTGACAAAATGGCGAAGCCTCCTCACACACACACACAGACACACACACACACACAAGCACACACAGACACACACACACACAGACACACACACACACACACACACACAAACTTGAGCATTGCACCTGTGGCTGGATGTCGAGAATACAGGTCTTGCCCTGCTGTGCCAGGGCAAGCACGTCCGCTTTGTAGATGCCGTACAAATCGCCATCGTGTCGGCCGTGTTCAATGTACAAGCCTCGGTCAATGTCACGCTTCATGTTGCGCCTGCAGGAATGATTCGAAGGTTCGTGTTCACATGTGTGTGTTGTGGTTCGTGTGATGTTGAGGGTGTGCAAGTGTGAGGGGCTTGGAACAGGTGTTCAGCTGAAACGAATGTGCCTGCAATGACACAGGCGAGGGGACACAAGAATGCCTTACTTATCGACAAAGACAAAGTCCGGGTTGCCGCCTGATTTGTACGCCTTGCATGACGTGTCTGTCAAAGAAGATGATGGATGGAGAGAGAGAGAGTGTGTGTGTGTGTGTGTGCGTGTGCGTGTGTGTGTGTTGTGGAAGCATCACAACAGACCAAACAGCATGAGCACACGTTGGTGAGTGCATGGCAAGACATCACGGCGATGCGAGACGCGGAGGGCAAGCATTGGGTGCACACGGAGAAAGACGAGCATGTTTATGCTGTGTAACACAACATACGCGTGGCTGGAAATGCAAAGATGCCAGGATGCCCTGAAACAAGCTCCTCCTTGATGGTTCTTCTCCCTACTCCCTCGGGGCCTATTGCGGGCGTGCGCAGCGTGGCAGTGGTGGTGGATGCATGGTGAACGACTAGCAGACAAATTACAGACAAACGCAATCGGGAGTGTTGCGGGAGACGGCGTTGGGAAGGAGGCCGGGGGGGAGCAGAGTACAGCTTTCCAGCGACACTTTTTTGAATGTGTGGCAGCGTGGCTAAGTGTGAACACGCACACACGAAACGAACCACACACACACACACACACACATACACATACATACATACACACACACATCTACGGGCGTACACAGTGCCACATCGTACCGAGGAGAACAAGCGGGCGGGCAAATGTCTCTGACGGCTGCACGAGCGTGACAGTCTCGTACAGCGCATTCAGCACTGTTTTTTGTGTTGGCGCAGAGCAGTCGTGACAGGAAATGAGTAAGGGGCAGACGTGGCGCCGAAAAGCAACGACATCCGCACGATTACGCACTGCGAAATGAAAACACGCAGACCTGGCTGCTCACAGTACACAATGGCGTGCACGCACACCCACCTGGTGGTTGTGCAGAGTGCATGACTTGCGCTTCCAGACGCCTGTGAAAGGGATTATGAAAGCGAGACGCAAGCACATGGTGACACTCGCGTATGAAAAGGAAATATGAGGTGCACTTACACGCTTCTTTGTCGTGACCAACACTTGAAGGCAATCACAACTCGGGACCTACTTGGCTTGAAGGCGCTTGCTGGGAATCAAACCAACGGTCTTCGCCTTCGTACGTGCATGTGTGTTTGTGAGTGTGTGCGTGAAGCAAAGGGGGCGAAACAATACCGTAAGAATGAGCGTCGTTGCAAATCGAGAGTGGTCGCTCATCTTGACATCGAGTAATGCAACAGCACGCCAAACCACAACTTGTGCACACGTGTTTGCGCGCATGTACGTATGGTTGGCAACGTACCGGGTCTGTACGCCGCCGCGCCTGCCACCACTCCTCGTCAGATTGGTCCAGCACCTATCGTATTGACAGGAGCAGAGTCATGCTGTGAACACGGCGGAAGACGTGACTCATGGTGAAACCAAAACAGCAAAAGAACAGACACAGTGACGGTCACACACACACACATACACACAGACACACACACACAGACACACACAATCAGACAGTCAGCCGCAAAGACATGTGGCGCATTTCCGCGCGTGTACCTCCAGGATGTCGCCCTTTGAGAACGTGAGACCGCCATTAACACATGGCAGCCAAGGGTCCTCCTCCGCATCGTAATCGAAGAGCGCGCGCATAAACACCGGCGGGTGACGCCGCCGCCGCACCCCCTGCAGCCGAGGACATTTGTGTGTGTGTGTGTGTGTGTGTGTGTGTGTGTGTGTGTGTGTGTGTGTGTGTGTGTGTGTGTGTGTGTGTGTGTGTGTGTGTGTGTGTGTGTGTGTGTGTGTGTGTTGTCTGCAGGCACCAGTGCCACACACACACGGTGACAAGCCAACTAACCTCTGCCGTGACAATGTCGAGTACGAGCTTGTGCGGGCTTTCGGTGATGGCAGCGTGCGCCTGAAAGGTTGAAACACAACAAAAGAACAAAGAAACGAACCAAACCAGGACCATGAACAACAGAACACTTGATTCACGGAACGTGTGTGTGTGTGTGGGGGGGGGGGTTGTTTTGCAGTACGCCAGTCTGAATGTGCAAGTTATACACAAGCATGTACATGGCTGCGCACTCCACACACCTCCTCCGATGTTAATTCGGCAGCTGGCTGGCCATTAATTCCCACAATCTCGTCGCCATTGTAGATCAGCCCTGAGACGAAAGTTTTGGAGAGCAGGCGTGTGCGTGCGTGTGCGTGTGTGCGTGTGCGTGTGGTGTGCGAGAGTGTGTGCATGTGGATAAGCGTGCGTGTATGCGTCAGGTGCACCAGGGGCACCGTCATGCACTCAGACAACAACAAGAACAACAAGAACAACAACAGACACACACCGGAGCGATGCGAGAAAGAGTTGACAAAGACACGCGACACGATGAGTTTTCGATTCCCGTCGCTGTCTTCCACAGACTTGACCGCGCAGCCCTGTGGCGCACCCAATGTACGTGAGGCCGATGGCACGTGTGAAAACACAAGTACCGGCAAGTATCAAGCCAGCGCACACGCCACGACGTTCACCCTTCACCAGTACAGGCAGCCATAGCATTCACAAGCGACTCAAGAGCCAGGCATGCACAATTGAAACCGAAGTTATGCATGTTCACATACACGCGCACATTCCACCGTGTGGCTCACTGAGCAAGACATGTGCGTGCTTACGAGTGGCTCGCCAATGTCTTCCAGCTCCAGCCTGAGCGCTTCCACACCCTGCGGTGTTAGGATGCGGGTCTTGAACACTTTGGCGCCGGTCCGAGACGCGTTTGTCACTGCACACAAAGTTCAAGACATCAAGAAAAAGGAAAGGGCGGAAGGAGGTTAGGGTGGAAGAGTCATGCCCAAATGCCAACACTAGAGCAATACAGCGCCAGAGCACCAGCGCTGCCGTGGCTGCACCGTTGCCGGGTGTTGTTGTGCAAACAGTCGCAATGCAGTCATCAGCAGCTTACCATCTGCCAAATCATCCTGCGCAATGATATCGTACGCTCGCATTACGGCCTGTATCATTGAAGACAGGCATATGAGCGTTGCAGAGAGCATGTGAAGGCGCGGAAGAATCGTCAGAGGCACAATTGATGGCAAAGGAGCAAATAAGAGCAAGATGCAGCACACACAAATACTTAGCACGCTTCGTTTATGGGTTTGCGCGGACCTTGAATGATGGCTTGGTGAGGAATTTGCGTAACGATGTCGCTGTCTCCCTGAAACAACGGAGCAGAACGCAGGGGTGATGCAATGAGTGGTGCCATGAGTGATGCAGACAATAGGCGGGACCGTGCAAAGCGGTGATTGCAACAGGTACAGTGATGCGCATAGCAGCAGCAATGTTGTTGGAACCCCAACGCACGCACGCACGCATGCACACTGAGTGCAGGTGCTGTTTCCCATGCGTGCGCATGCTGCTCCCACGCCACTCACCGATGCTCTGATCCGAGAGTAGCCAGACGGTCGACGACAGCGCTGGTGCGGCTTGACGCATCGCGGCAGATGGGCACGAGCCCTTGCTCCTGTACCTTCGACAGGCGGGTGTGCAGCTGGGCACGGGTGCAACAGAGGTAAACAGAGGCAAGCACAAACCCAGAACCAAATGGTGCGATGTATGAGTACAATGACAAAGGGCGTGGGCGAGTGATGGTGGGCGAACAGTGGGCACAAGGAGACAGAGATGCACATGTCTGTCGTTGTGACCCTTGGACGTGGACATGAGCTGTTGTAGAGACAGGAGCACAACACACACACACACACACAGACACAACACACAGACACAGCCACACACACGCACACACACACACACACACACACACACACAGACACAACCAAACGCACACAAACAACACACAAACACACACAGACACAAACAACACACACGCACATACACACAAACACACACACACACACAACACACACACACACACACATAGACTCACGTTGAGCAAAGTGCGGAAGTCTGGGTTGTTGAGGAGCGTGTCGAGCAGGCAGTAGTCGTCCTGGGATGTGGTATGCACGTCCCCAGCCTGCTGCCGGCGAATGGCAGCCAGCACCGAATTCACTGAAGGAAGACGGACGGCAAGTATGTGAGAGAGGGAGGAGGGGAACACGGACGATTGATGAGAATATGTGCCACATCTGACCACTCAGGGGTGTCAGCACAGCATCAGCGAGCGAGCATTGTCACGTCTCATGGTTGTCATCATTGCCACTTGTCAACACACCCACCACCATGTCCAGCCATCGTCGTCGTTGTTGCTCTGCTGTCTCTTGTCTTGTATCCGTTGTTGCTTGCAGGCTACAATTTGTTGGTCAGTTTTTTTTTGTTTGATTGCCCGCCACTGAATTCAGGATTTCGGTGGACGCTGGTGATGATGATGGTGATGATGGCGCGACGACGGGTGCTTGTGGCTGCTGTGGTGGTGTTGGTCGTCTGCGCGACCGGCGTCGCAGTGTGGTCTTCACGAATGCACCCACGGTTGCGTGATGCCGACACCTCGGTGGAAGGGCGCGACCTGCCATCTCGTCGCGAAATGGGTGCCAACGCAGCGCACACAACCGAGCGTGAACAGGCACGACAGATGAATGAGATGTACGAGATGATGCAGCACATTGTGGCAAAGTGGCAAACCAGCGACAGCAACAGCGACACCTGCAGCAGCAGCAACGACGACAGCAGGCACAGATCAGTAAACACGACGCACAGACAGCGGCCGCCGCGGTGGAATCACAGGGAGACCATCCCCAGCCAGCGAGCTTGTGTAACCACTTTGCAGCATCTGTTGGGGACAGCTTCACGGTGCTTTACATCAGCCGAGATGCCGATGTTGTCCGACAGCGACAGATGGAGGAAGGCGTGGCTGGATTGTGGAAAGCCGAACGCATCTCCGCTGTTGATGGTGCTGAGCGGGACAACGTGATGAAGCGCCTGGCCGGCACGCCGCAGGAGGCGCAATCGTCAGTGGAACAGCTGGTCGCTCAGCCGAACAAGCCTCCTGCAGTCCACCTGAAGGAGGCCGCCGTCGCCATCTCGCACCTCGATGCCATTCAGCGTGTTGCGCTCTCGGATCGCCCGAACACTTTGTTGAGCAGCTGCCAGAGGGGTGGAAGCTGGTTCGTCTTGCGATGACCACATATGAGCACGAGTGGAACAAGATCCTCAAGGAGTGGCAGGGCGAGGCCGCCTTTGCCCCAAATTCAACCGTCATCTTGGCGCCATCGCTTACCTGATCCCTCGAACATTTGCCCAGGACGTGATGCGGATGCCGTTTGTGGAGCTGGATGCGGCCGACCCAACACAGCCGCTCAAGGTCTGGCTGGAGAAACTCCCCGTCTTTCCTTGCATCGTCTCCGACGAGTGCATTCTGGACCGCATCGCTGCCAACCACATGTACATCGCCAGCCCACCACTGCTCAACATCCCGGAAGGGCGACTGGACCAGCCCGACAGCACCGTGCGGGACCACGTCAAGGACTTCCACGTGAGCTCCCGTCTGCACTCGCTGGATTGGGCTGCGCACAAGTTCCACGAATGCACAACAAAGGCCCCAGACCAGCGAATGATGGCAAACTTGGACTGCGGTGACGTTGTCCCCCCACCGTCTTGAGCCAAACATGTTTTTGACGACAACGAGGCTTTTCTCCAAGTATGAGTCGTAGGACTAAGGCGAGAGAAAGAGACAGAGTGTGTGTTTGTGTGCGCGCATGTGTGTTGGTGAGCGTGTAAGTGAGTGAGTGAGTGCGCGCGCGTGCTTGTGAGTGAGTGAGTGAGTGCGCGCGCGTGTGTGTGTGTGAGTGAGTGCGCGCGCGTGTGTGAGTGAGTGAGTGAGTGCGCGCGCGCGTGTGTGAGTGGGTGTGTGCGAGTGTGCAGTGAGCCAGCGAGAAGCGACAAGAGACGTTTGCGTGGTCAAACGGTGCTTGCTTGTGGCTCCTTCACCTTGAGTTTCAAACCTTTTTGTTTGTTGTATTGGCACCAGACTTGTTCGTGTGCATGTTTAGTTGCTGTAACAACATCCGTCTTCGCATTTCCTGTCACCGTTTCACAGTTTCCAACACATTACACCGTTGCATTGGGTTCTTTCATCCTGTGTAGTCACACACGTCAGACACAAGCGTCGACTCACATGTTCGAGTAGTCGCACAAACACAGTCATGCAGATGCACATCAACGCACAGCCATTTGTGTGGCAAGCAATGCTACCGTTGAGTGTATGCACGCGTGCGCCAAAGTCGCTTCTCGCTTCTCACACACTTCAAAAGTGGTCTTCAGTCATGTCACATTGTTACAACGACGCAGAACAGCTGCCATGTAACTGTATGGAGGCAACAACAAGCACCAAGAAGAAGAACAAACAAACACAAGAGAACAAGAACAAGAACAAGAACGAGAACGAGAGCAAGAACGAGAACAAGAACAAAGCCCAAGAAGAACACTCAAGCACCCCCCCCCCTTCCTCAAATCTCTCCGCATCATGCAGCTGCGTATGGCATGTCTGCTTTTTGCTTTTTCTGGACATCCCGAGTGCAGAGTTCAACCGCTCATCACCATGCGCACAAACTCTATGGACGATGGAAAGGGGGGAGGGTGTGTGTGAGTGAGTGAGTGAGTGAGTGAGTGAGTGAGTATGTGAGTGAGTGAGTGTGAGTGAGTGAGTGAGTGTGTGTGTGTGTGTGTGTGTGAGTGAGTAAGTGAGTGAGTGAGTGAGTGAGTAAGTGAGTGAGAGTGTGCGTGTGCGGCTCTATACGTGCATCACACGTGCGTGATCCGGAAATGGTTGGACGATATGTCCACGCTTTCACAAGCACCGCCCACTCCAGCAAGCAGCCACATGCTCTCTCGGAACACGGGCCCACCTTCGTAGTTGACGTTTCCAGAGTCCATCTGTGCGTGCGAGAGGAGCGCGTCGACATCGTCATCGCTCAGCTTCTCACCAAGACTCGTCAGCACGTGCCGAAGCTCTGCACAACAAGAACCAGCCACAAAACGCAGCACGCATCATGAGGAAATGTAAGCACCAAGGCCGTTGCCGATGTGCGCGTGCGTGCGTGCGCGCGCGCGTGTGTGTGTGTGTGTTGTGACGTGTAGCTGGACTACCGCATTGTCGCAACCCTTCAGGGGTGGTTTGCGGCCCTCCACTTCTGTCACTCTATCCAACTACCTGCTGCGGAGATTGTGCCGTTTCCGTCCTTGTCAAACACGCGGAGGCCTGGCGGACACAGGAGTGGAGGGGGGGGAAGAACAGCAAGGGAAGCAAAGTCTGAGTCAACTACGGGGCCCCACGAGGCAATGAGCAACAAGACCAACGACAAGAACAACAAGAAGAAGAGCAGACAGCAACAAGAAGAACTATCACAACAAGAAGAACAACAAGAAGAACAAGAACGACGTCACCACCACAC